GTCTCTTTCTCCCTCTCTGCCCACAATACACTTCCTGTGCTCTGGGCCCAAGGGGTTGAAGCCAGGTTGGCTGTCAGTCCCACCTTCCTTCCCAGACTCTGTGCTTCAGGGCTGTTTGGGGCCTGGGAGGTAGCAAGTGTGAGGGGAATGGCCAAGACCGGTGCCCAGTTTCGAGGGCCCCACTATGGGCTTGGCTAACCTGCTGGCATTTCCCATGGGCCTCAGTGATGGGCCTTCAAACATGAGCATTTTTTCTGTGCCAGTCTGGAATTAGTGGCATCGTTTTCCCCATTACTCTTTTGCCCCTATCCCTGCTCAGGGTCCAGGTAGGCCAGGCTCTAACTTCACTTTGCTGAAATGATAGAACAAGGTTGTGACTTTGAATGTTTGGGAAAACTGTGATCATCCTCCAAGCGTCAGTTGTTTGGACTCATGGGTTTGATGTGGAAATCTGCTTGATGCTTTTGTTTGGAGGTGGAAGCCCCAGTTCAGGCCTGCCTTGCCCCTCTCTGAGAGAGCCAAGCTCAGAGGTGGGGGCTTAAGCCCTAGGTGCCCAGGAGCATTCTCACTGATGTGGTCTGTTCATTTTATCTCCAGACCCAGGTTCTTGCTGGGAGTCCTGGCTCTGGGGTCCATTAAACCTGGTCAGTGCAATCCCACTGTCTATCAGCTGCTGGCCTTGAGCGAGTCAGCTAACCTCACTGAGTCTCATTTTGCTCATCTCTAACATAGGTGTTGACTCACAGGGTGGTGGTAGGAAGAAATGCACATAAAGCTCTTTGCACATTTCTACACCTAATGCACTTTAGGAAAAATGAGATGTTCTCAGACATTGCTATTTTGAGTCTAGTTCTTCGAAACATCTAAAATTTGAGGATAAGAATGAAGTTTTTCTGTTCCCTATTGGGATCTCCTGGGCCAGGGGTTTTAACCTGGGGTCTATGGTTGGACCTCAGGGAGTCTGAACAACCTGAAATTCACAAGACAGGCATCTCTGCCTCCATGCATATTTACTGGGAGAAGGCCACAGTTTTGAGACATTCTCAGAGGGTCTTTGCACCCACAGGGACCTAAGGGTCAGTGAAGGCTGATGCTCAGTGGGTGAGAGGTCATCGGGGTCTTTTCTGCTCCTCGGGGAGTCTGGCCTCTGTCATCCTGCGGACTGTTGGGGTGAAGAGGGAGATGGCGTGTTCAGCGGCCCTCTCAGAAGAGCTGTAGGAGAAGCCGTCACGATGGAGGTCAGTTCCCAATCTGATGTGAGGCTGCCTCTGAAACTTGGCATTTTATTTCTCTCCAGGCTGTTACTTCCACAGTAAATGTCTTAGAAACAAAGATCAGGACTTGCTGGCCATTCTGGGGAGCATCCTCCCAGCTGGCCTGGACCCCTCTCCTATATTGCATGGGGATGGGAGGGGGCTCTGCACTTCGCTTTTTTTTCTTGGAGGAATGCTGCCTCCCAGCCATGAGTTGAAAGCTTTGTGGGAGGTGTGGAGTCAGAAACTATAAATCATCTAGTGTGCTGTGCACTGTTTTGTGCTGGAAGATGGTGTGTATGTGTGAAGAACCACACTGGAACCCTCACAGACCAGAGCCACAATGCCCTCAGGCAGGGGAGTAGGGCCTGAGTGTGTTGATAGGAGTTTGTACATGGGGGTGGGGGTCAACATTCAAGTCTGGGAAAGAGTCTGAAAATATGTGTGATCTGAATGTTGACTTGGAGGAAGAGCAGGAACTGAAGACAGGGTATCCCAGCAGGGGGACTCACCTATGCAAAAACATGGTGAGCAAGCACTCAGTGACTTATGTTGTTTGTGTGTGGAGCTGGATCAAGGCAGGAGAGAATGGCTGGGGAGATGGGGACAAGTGTGAACGGCCACCTGTGGAGCTTAGGGGGTTTGCCTTTTAACCCAAAGGTGAGGGTGTTAGAGCTCAGGACTGCAAGATAGCAGATAGAAAGTACTGGCCTCAGCCAGGAGAGCTGGTGTTGGCATTGATGTACCAGATCTTGAGACAAGACCCCTCACATCACTGAACCTCAGTTGTCTCATCTGTAAAGCGGGATGACAGTGGACTCTGACCACATGGCTATTGTGATCACTGCATGGAAATAAAGGCATAAAAGTCAAGCAGGCCTGGAGTGAGGTTGGTGTTGACTTCAGAGGCCTGTTTTAACAACTTTAAAGCAAAGGCCTCAATCTACATAGTTTTGAAGGTTCCTTCTCTTACTTTCTGGGAGCCCCTGAGCTGTCATGTTTCTCAGAGAGCTCACTCTGCCCTGCCCCACCAGAACAAAGGGTCCTTCTCTCCCTTTACCGACCCACTCTCACTTCCCTCCACCACTTCTTCAGCCAAGTGGTTTTTGTGTTAGAAGGTTATCACACCATTAAGAACAATATTGAAAAGGAAAGGGCCGGCCCGTGGCTCACTCGGTAGAGTGCGGTGCTGATAACACCAAGGCCCCGGGTTCGGATCCCACATAGGGATGGCCGGTTCGCTCACTGGCTGAGCGTGGTGCTGACAACACCAAGTCAAGGGTTAAGATCCCCTTACCGGTCATCTTTAAAAAAAAAAAAAAAATCAATGTCTTGGACTGTTTTAACGGCCCACTTTTGTTGGAAAAATATAATATGCACATACAAATGTACATGGATAAGTAATCAGATTGGGCTATTCACTTCTCAACCTTTTTCATTATATTCATTCATGTACAAACATTTGATCACCTAGGATATAACAGACACTGTGAAAGGATCTGAGGGAAAAAGAACAGAACAGATAAGACCTCTGACCTCATGGAGCTTACGGTATGGTCTAAAGAGAGAGACAATCAAAAAACCTATTATGTTTGTTATTTTTTCTAGATTAACTTTTGAATCATTTTTCAAGACCCACCGTCCCACCATATGGCAGCACTGTTCTTGTCTTTGGATCAGCTGACAGCCTTAGTTCCCCTCAGCCTCCATCTCCAGCTTCCCAGTTTTCCTGTCCTTATCTCTTTTCGTGACCCCAGATGTTTGCTGCTGCTATTTCTTTTGATTGCATTCTTTTTCCCCAAGACCTTTCCTGAGGGCTGCCTAACCTTGTTGTGGGCCAAGGGCAGAGGGAGAGATGACTCTCATATTCCTCCAGCTTTCTCCCTACCTCCAGAGTTCTCAGGCATCTGGGGGAGACTGGGCAAGGCATCTTGGGGGATGCAGTGATGTTGGGGCACATTGAGTAACCTAAGCATTGCGAATACTAGGGTAGAAGGGGCAGAGGTGTGTCCTAGGGAGCTGTGCACGGCCTCAAGGTACTCCAGGTTTGTGTGTGGGTACAGCTGAGTCTGATCCCTTGGAAATGTGACCTGAACAGCAGCTGAGACTAGATGATGTTGGTCCTATGCTTTTGCCACTTGTTGATTTGTTTTTTGGCAGAGCGTGGACTGGGACACACCTTGTGTTCCTGTGTAGCAGGCGTGGCCAGATCCAAGCTTTTTGCTCTTCTCATTTTAGACTTTCCTGGACATTTCTTAGTCATCCTAGCACTGAACTTCTATTTTTAGTGCCACTACCTCCTAGGGGACCTAAAATAAAGCTGGCTTAGCTTCCTGGCCCCTCATTGGCTGGAGAGTTGGTCACAGGCTTAGGAATTGGCTGTGTTCTCACTGTCCCCCCTACACAGTCCCTCCCCGCCATCTCCTCTGGCCTTGGGTGAGGTCACAGGAACTAGAGTGAGCTAGTACTTACCATGTTGAGTTGAGGGGTTTACCATGTTTCCTTAATGAAGCTTCACAACCACCAGCAACATCAGGGTTACCATCCCCTTTTTGCGGAGGAGGAGGCTGAGGCCCTAAGAAAGGCAGTGATTTGCATCAGGTCCCCACCACTGCTAATGTTTCCCTGCTGGGGTCGAACCCACCTCCTCACTGCTCTGGTTCAGAGTCCTATTATCAGGACAGAGGGGGTGGTCTCCACTACAGTCAGAGACAACTACAGAACAGCACATGGGTCGGTCTGTAGTCGTGGGATCCAAAGTGAGATGTGGGCTTCCCTACTTGGAGGCTCCTAGCAAAGCCAGAGTGGCTCTCATCTGGGATTTGTGTTTTCCATCCAGCATTCTTGGGTCTGTGATCTCTAGCTGGGAGGGGGGCTCCCCTCCCCCTCAGAGACCCAAAAGAGACAGCCTCTTAGGGTGAAGGCAATGCCAGGATGGGGGATATGAAGAAATGACATGGTCCCCTCACAGCCTCCATATTCCCTCCTCACACCCCTGAGCTATTACTCTCATCTTCTGAATTCATGTTGCCAGCTCTGAAGTGGGTGGGAGCACTCCTATCAATGAAGAAATGCCCCAGACAGGGCCAGGTTAGGTATCACTTGGCCTCAGAGATGTAAACAATCCCCTTGAAGCTAAGGAGGTCACTTGCCATTTTTGTCAGAAGTGAGGCCTTGAGGAGCATCTCCCCCCATGCCCATGTTCACTGGGTTTTCCTCCACTTGCCAACAAGGCCCTGGGACAGTGTTGGAGCCTGAGGGCTGCGATAGAAAACCCTTCACATGCAGACATCTGTAGTTCCTGGTTTGGAAAGTGGGACTAGCAATAACTCTGGCCTTGTGGGTTGTCGAGGGGATTAAATGAAAAGATACGGAGTGAGTGCTTAGCTCCTCCTTCAAGGCCCCTCCCTTTATTGGGCATTGAAGGGCCCTGCTCTTACCTTCCTTTGTTCTGGTTCCACCCTCAGTACCCATCCTGAGTGCTCCATGACCCTGGCACCTCTTTGTTTCATCAACCAGGAGCTCTTCAAAGGAAGAGCCAAGTCTGGTTCACCTCTGGGCTCCTAGCACTGGTCTGTCTTGGGAGGGATCTCCTACCAGTTCCCCAAGGCCTCTCCATGTTCCCTAAGAGAACAGAGCTCAGCAAAGGACTTCCTGCTTGAGGCCAGGGAGGGGTGGGGGTCAGCGCTGGTTACCTCCTGCTTCCACAGTGCCAACGCTTTCCTCCCTGTCTCGCTGGTCTTGCAGGTCTCAACGAGGCCGGGTGACGCTCCAGAATGGGAGACAAGCCAATTTGGGAACAGATTGGATCCAGCTTCATTCAACATTATTACCAGTTATTTGATAATGACAGAACCCAACTAGGCGCAATTTACGTAAGTTTCCAGCTCTAGGGCCAGAATAGGACCCCAGGGGATCAACTCAGATGTCAGGCCACTGTGTCCAGTTCACAAGTTCTGGCAACCCTTGCTGGACTGGCAACACCTCTCTGTTTGAGTTTCTGTCCATGGGTCAGAGGATCTGAGGCCTGGCCCAACTAACTGATCCACACATTTTCTTCTATCATCTTCCACAAGAGTGGGGGTCTTGGTATTCTGGGTAGGGTGTTCTGGACTTGCCATTCCATGTGGCCAACACCTTTTCAGGACACATGGCTCTGGCAGTGACACTTTTCCTGGTTGGGCAGCAGCAGACAGAGGCAGGGCTCATGGTGCCCTCTGGAGGAAGCAGCTATGAGTATCTTTGGTGCAAAGCTAAGCTCTCCTGGAGTCCCCAGGTTCAGCTTTGTTTTCGGGCCAAAAGCCCCTGAATGCACGTGGGAAACAAATGGGGCTAGCCCAGGGAGGCTTGTATGTCCTTTGATAAACCCTTCTATGCAGGCATTGTTCCTGCTATTTTAATGACATTCATATACACCGAGAACTACTTGTACTTGATGCTGCCCAAGATTTGGTCATAGAAATGTGATTGATCAGGCCATTGCCTAGCAAGTCTGCCAAGGATAGGGGTGATAGGAGTCATCTAGCTATAGCCTCAGAGCCTGGCTGGGCTGTGGGCAAAGTATTCTATGCTTATGGCTGGCCAGTTAGCTCAGTGGGTTAGAATGCAGCCTTATAATACCAGGGTCACAGATTCAGATCCCCAAACTGGTCAGCTGCCAAAAACAAAACAGAACAACAAAGTCTTCTCTGTCTACCTCCAAAAAGTTAGGGTCCGTTGAAGAATTTTTGAAAAAACGGAATCTTACCAGTGGAAGACCAAATCCAGCACAGATATTATTTGATTGTCATTATAATAAATAGATAATTTTTTAAAACTTGAATTGATCTGACTCTGGGATCCTAGCACTTCTGCCTCATTGTCTCTTAATTAAGGCAGGCCTGACCCAGAGAAGAGAGTTTGCAAGGTCCTAAATGCACTTTCTTTGTATAAATTCATAATCCTCAGAACATTTCCCCTTGGAAGATTAGGAAACTGAGACTCAGAAAAAAAGTTACTTACCTAAATATTACAGCTGGTAAGTAGCAGAGGCCCTTTTGAGTTCTGCCTCTCAAGGCTGTGGAAGAGAAGACCTGGGGAGGTGGAGGGAGCTAAGCTAGTGGGCTGCATGTGGGATTTTGTCTGTTGGTACTAGGGAAGGTCCCAGACTAGGCCTCAGGAAGCCTTGTCACTCTCCATTCCTTCCTGATCTCATGGGTGCCCAGAAGGCTAGCTGGAAGGGCCACAGTGGAACTCAGCCCGGGCCCTGGTGATGGTAATGAACATGGGATGTTTCCATGTTATTTCTTTTTTTTTTCCCTTTTGTCTTTTTTCGTGACCGGCAACAGATCACAACCCTCAGTGTCGCGCCTGTACCGGACCGGGACCGGCAACGGGATCGCAACCCTCGGTGTTGCGCCCGCACCTCGCTCAGCCAGTGAGCGGCCGGTCTGTATGTGGGATCCGAACCCTCGGCGGGAGCGCCGCCGCGCTTCCCAAGCGGCGCACTGTAGCAGTGCGCCACCAGGCCGGCCCTCCACGTTATTTCTGATGACTTCTCTGGGATTGATGCTGACTGGCCACACAGCAGGATGGCTTTTGGCTGAGCCCTGGCCACACATGGACTTCCTGATGCCCATCCATCCATATCAAAGGCCATATGACTTCTTGAGGACAAATGGGAAATGAACTTAGTAACTGTTTTGTTAAATAGTCTTTCAGAGCCTGGGCCCATGGGACAATGGGGTGTAATTAAGTTGTTGATGGTGTAAAGTTTGGGAGCTACCCTCAGTCCCCCTCTTTACAGACAGGGAAATTGAGGCATGGGCTCATTTCCCCAAGCAAGATGCTTTTCAGGGCCTTAGAGGTACTCCTCATACTCTGCAGCCTTGACTCAGGGTTTCTTGTGTGTGTTTTTCAGATTGATGCATCATGCCTTACGTGGGAAGGACAGCAGTTCCAAGGGAAAGCTGCCATTGTGGAGAAGTTGTCTGTAAGTAACAGAGCTGTGGTGCAGGCAGCTCCTTCGCCACCCTTCTGGCCTCGGTTAGCCCACCACCCAGTCTTTCTCTTGCAGAGCCTTCCGTTCCAGAAAATCCAGCACAGCATCACGGCGCAGGACCATCAGCCCACGCCAGATAGCTGCATCATCAGCATGGTTGTGGGCCAGCTCAAGGTAATAGTACTGCTGCGGTACAGGGAGAAGTGGGCAGGCAGAGGAGAGTCATGGGCCCTTGCCTTCCCTGTGGATGTGACCTTCTTATCAAGGGATGCCCAGACAAATTGACTGTCTACAGCTGTGTAGTTCAATACAATAGCCATTAGCCACATGTGGCAGTCTCTAAATTACATTAAATAAAATTAAGTAAAATTAGGGCCGGCCCGGTGGCGCACTGCTACAGTGCGCCGCTTGGGAAGCGTGGCGGCGCTCCCACCAAGGGTTCGGATCCCACATACAGACCGGCATGGTGCGGGCGCGACACTGAGGGTTGCGATCCGTTGCCGGTCACGAAAAAAGACAAAAAGAAAAAAAAAAAAATTAAGTAAAATTAAAATTTAGTTTCTCAGTTGCACTAGCCATGTTTCTTTTTTCTTTTCTTTTCTTTTTTTTTTTTTTCGGCTGGCTGGTACAACGATCAAACCCTGGACCTTGGTGTTATCAGCACCACGCTCTAACCAACTAAGCTAACCAGCCAGCCCCTAGCCATATTTTAATGTGTTCATAGTTATATATGGCTACCTATTGGACAGCACAGATATAGAACATCTCTATGATTGCAAAAAGTTCTCATGGAGAACGTTGGTCTAGAGCCTTTATAGAAAAGAGACAAGAGGTATAGGAACAGGATGGGGCTATGGTTCCAAGCCCCTGGCCCCCTGCTTATCCCTGAGGTATAGGTGGACAGGCCAGCTGGCTGCAGGCTCCTCACCTGCTGAGCAAGTCATATTCCTGGGACTCCTACTTCTCTTTGCATTTCTCTTTACCCATCTCAAGACCTGCTATCTTCAAAGCCTTCCTATGGTCCCTTGGACTCCCAAGAACTCTCCAAGGAACCTTTTGTGCTCCAGCAGACTGAAGACAGATTCTCTATTTCCAAAAGCCCCTCCTTCTTCCCAAAGTAGAATAAATTGGTTGCCCCTTGGCCAAGTCCCACCCTTCTTGGGTTATGTCATGGTAGTGCTCATATGCTTTCTCCCTAGGCTAACTGGGGCAGGCCTTCCTGAGTCCAATATAGACATGGAGGGAGGGGCCCCCTAAGTCTCTTTCAGTGGACCCAGAGGCACCCACCTTCTGGCTGAACTTTTATCAGTTTCTCCTGCCTGTCCAAGATGCCCTGTCTAGAGCCCTGTGCCCTAACAGTCCTTTCGGATTAAGGAGTCCTCTCCAGGGAGCTCAGTGCCCATTCTCTCAGGCTGAAGTAATGTTAAAGACAGTGCTGGTTAGCAGGGCTCTTCCTGGTTTTCTGCAGTTTGGCTGAAGGTTTCTTGCCTTTCTTTTTTCATTGCAGATGTTATATATTACACTACTGGAAACAAATCATCTGATGATGGTGCTAGGTTGCTTTTTCCCTGTAGAGCTGTGATCACATTGTGAACGCAGTTTTGAGCCTTTTCTCACATATTTGGCTACAGTCAGAATTAGTAGTTTCTGGGCCGACCCTGTGGCGCACTCGGGAGAGTGCGGCGCTGGGAGCGCAGTGATGCTCCCGCCATGGGTTCAGATCCTATATAGGAATGGCTGGTGCGCTCACTGGCTGAGCACAGTGAGGGCAACACCACACCAAGGGTTGTGATCCCCTTATCAGTCACAAAAAAGACAAAAAAAAAAAAAAAAAAGAATTAGTAGTTTCTCCTGATTGGACTGACTGGCATTATTAAACACTAAGATGGTTTACAGTTTTTTTGTTTGTTTTTTTTTAAGATGACCGATAAGGGGATCTCAACCCTTGACTTGGTGTTGTCAGCACCACACTCAGCCAGTGAGCCAACCGGCCATCCTTATATAGGATCCGAACCCGTGGCCCTGGTGTTATCAGCACTGCACTCTCCCGAGTGAGCCACGGGCCGGCCTAAAATTCATCTACTCACTTCCTCCCGAAGTGTACTGTTTTTTTTGTTTTTTGTTTTTTGTTTTTGTCTTTTTTCGTGTCCGGCAATGGATCGCAACCTTCAGTGTCGCGCCCGTACCAGACCGGGACCGGCAACGGATCGGTGTTGCGCCCACACCTCGCTCAGCCAGTGAGCGGGAATCGGTCTGTATGTGGGATCCGAACCCTCGGCGGGAGCACCGCCACACTCCCAAGCAGCGCACTGTAGCAGTGCACCACTAGGCCGGCCCGGTTTACAGTTTTTTGAAACTGTAAGTACTATGTGATTTTTTCAAAATTTTGATCACTTGCGCCCAGAAACATGGGCTCAGAGGCAGGTATGTCCTCTGCGCTGTTGCTGTAGCTAACTGGTGAATTGTTCTGCAGTTTAAATGTACATACCAGTGCAAGCTGCCATATATTGGCCTGTATGTGCCCAGTGCAATATTTCATAAATTACATCAATTCACATTTGCAAGTGTTCTTTGGCTAATACTGGAATTTGAGTCCAGTGCAGAAGTGTCTGATCCCAAAGTCCACATTCTTTGTCTTGTTCCCCAACAACTGAACTCCCTTCCTGTTCCTTGGCTCCCTTACTGAATCATTTTTTCTCTCCTCACAGGCTGATGAAGACCCCATCATGGGGTTCCACCAGATGTTTCTATTAAAGAACATCAACGATGCTTGGGTTTGCACCAATGACATGTTCAGGCTTGCCCTGCACAACTTCGGCTGACCTCCTCCCAGCCAGGCATTCACGCTGTTTCCTCCTCCCTCCTCTTCCTGATACTATTCACACTCCTCCAGATGCTCCAAATATCATACACAAACAAGCAGGGCCATGGTGTGAGTGGGTGCAGTGCGCTGCTGCCACCAAGGTGTTGTGCATGATGTTTGGACTCTAGACTAGTTGCATCTGACAGGAGAAGTTTGTGTTGTACCAGCGCATGCCTTGGAAAGACTTAAGTAATGCAAAAGGTTGTCTTTTTTTTTTTTTTTTTTTAATTTACTGACAAGTTGCTCTAGTAACCCAAAGAAGTGAAGGAGAAAGCAGCTGCCTCACCGCCCAGATATTGATTTGTTCAGATGTTTCAATGCCTCATGATACAATAAAACCACAAAAAATTTTCTTAACAGTTTAAATTGTTTTAATTAGTTTAATAGTTGGCTGGACACCAGTAACTATCCTGCCCCATTGTCTCTCTCATGTCTCACCCTCCCACATCTGCCCCAACTCAGCAATACCTGTTGCAAAGAGAAAACTGCTGAAGCAGCACTCCCAGCTAGCTTCTCTCAGAAGCTTCTCCCAGAGTTGCCCTCTCCAGCCCACCTTGTCCTGGGAAAGCAAATAGGGAGAGCTCAGGTTTGGCCTGAAGCTTTCCTCAACACTAAAGCCTCTATAGTCAGTTCTGAAACCTCCTGTGACCTCTGACCTGGTTAGTTTCAGAGTTCTAGTAGCAGGAGAGGTGACCCTGAATCCTGTCGAAGCTGGAGAGACCATGGCAAAAATGGTCCATCAGGTTTGGGCCTTCTGGACTGAGGTCTCAGCAAGACCAAAGGAGGTGCCTGCTCTGTTTCCAGAAGGGTCAAGATTACATCTAAGGTGCCCCACATACCCCAAGCCAAGCAGAGGGCAGTTCAAATCCTGTACCCACTCTCTTTGGATATCATTGCCAAAGTTAACTGCTCAGAAGAGCCAGCCTCCATTGCCCACAGAGCCAGGCCTTGTTGGGTTGGAATTACAGAAGAAGGCAGCCTGAGTCTGACCATGAGGGATTTATGCCCTCGGAGTTCTCACCACTCAGACCTCTGCAGAGCATTTCCAAGCCTTTTCCCTCTATTCCTTCCTCACCACACACACTCCACATTGTCTTCAAATCCCAGGAAGTCTTAGCTATTACAGCAGTTTCTTCAGTTTTGGGGACAGAGGCCTTGCCCAGTACAAATCTAACCCCTCAGCCCTGAGACCTCTGGATGATGTAAGCCAAGTGGGGCAAGGTAGCAACTGCAGGCTAGAACCAAACCCACAATTTGGGTTAATGCTCTGTTAGGAAGATTAGGATTGGTAAGGGCAATGGACCTGTGAATGGATCCTCCCCCACCAATTAGGAGTGGGGACTAAGGACTTTCTCAGACCCCACAGGTTGCCTGGCTACACTGGGCACAGGGCTGGATGGTGTGCCATTTGAGGGAACAACATGCTCGGTAGATTTCAGTGGGACTGATCTCTAGACTGCTGTGAACTGGGGAGAGTGGGGCTGGGGAGAGGTAGATGCCTGCTGCCTCTTAAACCACCCTGTATAAAGTCTGCAATACGGCTTCCATGTACCTGTGCCTGAATTGTCTGCAATAAAGAGGTGTTTATAAACTGTTGTTTCTTTCTTCCTACCTAAGGGTGCCATGTGGGACAAGGGGATGCTGGGGGCAGTAGGGAACAATGACTGTGATGATTGCGGTGGGACCATCTCCCTTGCCCTTGCAATTCCTGGGCCTTATGATCTCGCACATCCCCTGCCCATTTCCCAAAGGGGAAACCCAGGCTCCTGTCAATTCAGTTTGTTCCTGAGGGTCTGAGGGATCTCAGGCTCAGCAGCCTAATTGACCAGTTCCTAGGACCATCATAGAGTCCATGCTTTGGGAGTAGGCATGGGCCGGGCAGGATCTCCTGAGATGAGTAGGATTTTGGATGGCATAGTAGGTGGACCTTCACTCGGCCTCGGCTCTGGAATTTCCCTGGCACAGGGCGGGGCCATCAAAGGAGACGGGCTCACCGAGGGGCAAGGCGTCCGCCCCCAGCCCGGAACCTTTCTTCTGCGGCCCTAGCAGGTTCCGGGAACCGAGGCTCGTGGGGACCGGAAGTGGGGGCGGTTGGTGGGGTTGGCGGAGCTCAGGGACGCGGCGCGGGCGGCGGTTTGCTAGCTGCGGGTGGACCGAGTGTAGTGACCAGCATCCCCCTGTCTGGCCTGGTCGCGGCCGCGTGAGGTTGGGCTGTGCGCGGCAGCAGCGGAACGAACGCGGTGCGGGCGGGGCGCCCGCCGCTGGGCCCATGGCCTCCTGCGCGAGCATCGACATCGAGGACGCCACGCAGCACCTGCGGGACATCCTCAAGCTGGACCGGCCCGCGGGGGGTGAGCAAGAATAGCGGGAGTGGGCCCTCCGCGAGCGGGCAGAAGGGCAGCACGATTCGGAAGAGCCTCAGGGCCCGCAGGTCCTTTAGAACCGGCTCTGAATCCTCCTGGCTGGTGAGGGCAGACTGGGGTCGGAGCCGTAGATCTCTGGGTGTCCCTCGAAGGGTGCAGACCCTTGGGTGTGACCCCTTGTCATCCCAAAGCCGGGCCTTTCTGCCTCGTCCTTCAGCGTCTCAGCTGAAGGTGAGGCCCCTTCTCTGAATCTGCTGGGCCCCTCTGGTTTCCTGGCCCCGAGATCTCTGGTACGCCTAGGACTGGCCCGGCGCCCCTTCGCTTTCGCCGTAGTTCAGAGGCCTGGTCCAGGTTCTGTATAAGGAGTTTCTGGCTTAGACTTAAGCGCTGTACTGAAGAGCAGCCGGTCCTCCGCATCTTGCCCTTCCCTCTGCATTTTCCCCTTCCCTCTGGGATATAGACTCCAGGGCTGCTGTTCTGAACCTGATTTCCAGGAGGAAGGTGGCCAGCCTCAATTCTGTGTTCTTTCTGGGATGAAGGCTAATCACAGACTGCACGGCCGTGATTGGATTAGGCTACATCTACAAGCCCTAATATGTTCCCATTCATTCCAATTTTACTTGGGCTGGTAGCGATGCCTCAGAACTGCACGTGCCCTCAAAGAGCTCCCAGGACACAGCGAGCTAACAAGGTTGAAATATAACGTTATTGATAGGAATGGGGCATAGGGGATTGAAAAGTGGAGAGTGTAGATCTGAGAGAGGAGACTGTTTAGGTTAGGTCTTGTAATATGAACAGGGACTTGGGTGTTAGGAAAGGCACCCAAGGCACCTACACAGAAGCTACCTATTATGAAGAAGTAATAACACTTGTGAAGGCACTGGAGTTTCCTGGAAGGTTCAGGGATCTGTGAAAAGTTGTAGTGGTTGAAGGACTGGCTGGTGATAGTGGTGTGGGTCGGTGTGCAGTGACCATATCTGATAACTGATGTTTCCTCAGACCTTGTTCTTACACCTGCTGGGAGGCTTCTCCCACTCTGCTGCTTCTGAAAGCAGGCACTAGTGCTCACTCTGGGTGGGTTTAACTAACTCCTACTGTCTGAGAAAATCCATCTGCTCCCTGAGTCCACTGGGCCCCTTGCCCCATGCCTGGAGTATGTGCTTCCTTTATTTGGCTTGGGTCTCTCATGCTCATCAGCTGCAGTGCAGACTAGATCCCACAGAGATTTGGTAGAGCCTCGCATGGCCAGCCATGTTCAGCCTGGGTCTGCTGTTTGTCCTCAGGGTAGCCTGCCTGGAAAGGAGAGTAGTCAGCTTATCCCTGAGCAGCTAAGGTGGCTGTGATTAGAGTGAAGTGGCTTGGAGTCTTTTTTTTTTTTTATAACTCCTTTGTATGTTGATTGGCTTTTGATTCCCCTGTTTGCCAAGGAGATCTTGTTGGTCTAAGGATCAAGTTAGACCTCAGACTGTTTTGCAACTAAAAACTTCCTATGTTCTTGAATGTGAAGCCTTAGTCTCCTTGCCACCTGGGAGTTTTGGCAATGGTGTCTGAATGTATGAACGTGTTTGAAACCAGCCAATGTGAATAACAGAAATGCTGTCTTTTCTGACTCCACACCCTACCCTATAGTCTCTCTCCTTTTTGTCTAGCTTTTTCATGTCCATTCTTCCTGAGTTTACCTGCCCAAGGTGGCTTCTGAGCCATTTCTGTGTGGGGGAGGCCCCTTCCTTTCTTACTCCCTGATAAAGACTTATCAGTGTCTTTCCATGCCTTAGGAGCCCATCTTCTGCTCTCCAAACTCTGCCACTACCTTGGTCTACTTAGGTCTACCTTGGCCCTAGTCTCTCTCACCATTCTCAACTATTCTGCATGCTGCCTTAGGGCAGTAAGCCTGCTGGCCAGGACTGACCATGTCACCTTCCCCTTTAAAACTCTTCCTATTGTCCACAAAGAGAGTGTAAGCACCACAACATCATACCTGAGGCCTTGTTTTCCCTTCATTCTTTCCATGTTTCTGTGGTTTGACCACAGTGGTTGTGATGGTGCCTCCTCTGTGAAGTCTTTTCTGACCCTTCCCATCCCCTTCTTCAAGTACAGAGTTCTTCTGTGCTGACCCAGGCCTGAGTTTTAACTGGCCTCAGAGGGTCCTTGATGGCTTGTACTCCTCACCCAGGCAGAAGAGGCTCATGCTCATCCTTGGTCCTGGCATACATCAGTGTTTATGGAATGAGAGATGAACAAAGAGTCCTCCTTCCCACGGAAATACTTTGGTCTGTTGAGCATTCCTAGAGCACCTTATGGTTCTGAAAGGAAGCTCTGCAGGAGGAGAGGCTAGTGGGCAAGTGGAGCAACCTTGTCAGGGTGGACCTCTCTGTCCCCAGGCCCCAGTGCAGAAAGCCAGAGGCCATCCAGCGCATATAATGGGGACCTCAATGGACTCCTGGACTCAGACCCCCTCTGCTCAGGTGATGGTACCTCAACAAGCAAGCCTGCTCTCCGAACCATGCCACCCATTAACCTGCAGGAGAAGCAGGTCATGTGAGTGCTTGGGAGATGGCAGTGGTGGTGATGGTATCTTTGGGGCATCTGCTAGCAGAAGGCATGAGATGGGGGACAAGAGGGGCCAGCAGACTCTGCCGCTCCCCCTGTGGATGACCTGGGGTGGAGCACTTAACCACACTGAGCTTGCACTAGGATGAGAGGCAAGAATAAGCTCAAGGCTTGGCCTGGGCACCTGATTTTTTTTTTTTTTTTTTTTTAAAGATGACCGGTAAGGGGATCTTAACCCTTGACTTGGTGTTGTCGGCACCACGCTCAGCCAGTGAGCAAACTGGCCATCCCTATATGGGATCCGAACCCGGGGCCTTGGTGTTATCAGCACCGCACTCTCCCGAGTGAGCCACGGGCCGGCCCCTGGGCACCTGATTTAGAACAGAAGCAGTCTCATTAGGGCCAGCCCGTAGCTCACTTCGGAGAGTATGGTGCTGATAACACCAAGGCCACGTGTTCGGATCCCATATAGGGATGGCCAGTTAGCTCACTTGGGAGAGCATGGTGCTGACACCAAGTCAAGGGTTAAGATCCCCTTACCAGTCATCTTTAAAAAAAAAAGAAGCAGGCTCATTCCCGAAGAGGGAATCGTGCAAGGGGAGCTGTGGGTCTGGGGACCAGTAGACCAGGCAGAACTAGGCATCTGGGACTAGACACCTTCCTCAGGGTGGTTATGTCCTCTCCTCCTTCCTCCCAACCCTGCCCATTGAGCCTTTGGGTGAACACGAGACAAGGTTTATGCACTTCTTGCCCCAGTTGCCTCTCAGGAGATGACAGCTCCACCTGCATTGGGATTTTGGCCAAGGAGGTGGAGATTGTGGCCAGCAGTGACTCTAGCATTTCCAGCAAGGCACGGGGAAGCAACAAGGTGGGTACCAGAATGCTGTGGCATGTATAGTAAGTATATGGGGGTTCACTCAGCCTCTTCCCCATGCTACCAGTTCCTATGGGAACCACCTTGACAAACAGATAGTGTGCCCAGTTTCAGGAAGGTTGGGTGCCAAGCCTCTGTGGGAATCTGGCCCCAGGAGTATCAGTGAGTGGCTGGGCTTGCACCTGTGGTCTCTCCCATCCCCAGGAATGCTGGGGACCACCTATGCTCTGGGGGAGCTGCCCCAGCCCTCAGCTTCTACAACCTTCCTCACTCTGGGTTCTCAGGTAAAAATCCAGCCTGTCGCCAAGTACGACTGGGAGCAGAAGTACTACTATGGCAACTTGATTGCTGTGTCTAACTCCTTTTTGGCCTATGCCATTCGGGGTGAGTAGGGGTAGTGGGGAGGAGGGAAGTGTTCTACTAGAAGCCCCAGAGATCCAGATCCAGTGTCAGGCCACTCAGCCCACTCAGACCTTAGGGATACAATGGAAGTCTTTTTTGTGTTCCTGCAACCTCTGCCAGGACTTGGGGAGCTAAGTGGGAAAACCCAAGCCTGAGACTATGGTGGTGGCAGTGAGGCAGGCAAAGGTAGGGCTTCTCTGCTGCTGCTGCCTTGGCCTGAACATTCACCTATGGCCCACTGCTTCCCTGATTCCAGCTGCCAACAATGGCTCAGCAATGGTGCGGGTGATCAGCGTCAGCGCTTCGGAGCGGACCTTGCTCAAGGGCTTCACAGGCAGCGTGGCCGATCTGGCCTTCGCACACCTCAACTCTCCTCAGCTAGCCTGCCTGGATGAGGCGGGC